AAATTATGATGAAATATTAAATGTCTTCAATTTTATGTCTGCAAATGTTTCTCCATCCAGTGCTATAGTTATTATTCACTATAACTTTCCCTTCTCATTTCCACAAAGTTCAAAGTTAAATTTCTTAGTTAAAGGTTCACTTTTTCTAAAAATTTCAACCAACAATAACAATAAAGTTACTGCAACAATGATGTCGCACGTACGTGACACGTCACTTATCACTCACAGACATCATCAGGTAATGAACAAACACTGATACTTGCATTTGGAACTACGCATCGGAACAAAATCAGGAAATGTTCGTGAAATATACGATTGATCAGACGGCATTAAAGATAAGATACGAGGACAGTATTGAAACCGTAGAAGAACGGTTGGTGATTATTAATCAGAATTTTCACAAACCATTCAACAACATGTGGCAAGAGCCAAAAGACTCGTGGAACTTTGTCTTACCTGCGCTTGTCTGCCCTTCAGTCCTTCAAACAGGGAGGACAATCAAATGAGTTGTCGACAAACGTATTATACCACCTAAACTGACGGAAAGTAATAAAATGTTGTGCTCTAACTAACCTTATACATCTAGCGGAGAGAATGATAATTGATTAGCTGTGCGACGGTTTTATCACCTATCTTATCAACGTTTTATTAGTGGCATAGGGCTACAGTACAACTCATTGCTTCGCAAATTTCTCCTAATTGAAATGATAATCTAATATTTTCTCATCCTCTGAAGAAATTGGCTGAAAGTGAAATGGAATTTTGAAAAGAAAAAAGGTAAATGCATACTGATTCCTATAAAAGCACAACACAAAAAGAAACAGATAATGCGAAAATGAGAGAACAAAGAAAAGGTAGATTGAAGTGAGTCTAAGTCAAGATTAGGGCCAAAACAAATAGAAGATGAGAAATTGCGATATACGAAATATGGATCATTTCGTTCTTGTTCATCGTGATGCCTTGTTTCCTATTGTAATGAGGAAATAATGATGGAAGTACAGTTCGGATCACCGGGTGGATTAAACACCAGAGATTTTGATGAGAAACGAGAAATGAACATTTGTTGTGAAATGATAGCATCCGTCCTATTGACAATGAGATCAAGAATCCAATATTAACGGTCTAATTTCCCATCCTTCAGCCATTCAGTGTTTTCTTTATTCCTTGACCGAAACAGCCCCGTGTGCAATGTGAAAGAGAAATTCTCGAAAACGCGAGATTTACCGGTAATCTGAGAAACAGATTAGTTCTGCACAATGTAGTATATTGAGAGCATTTTCTAAAACCAATTTTGCGATGTTCACCGAATCGGACCAGAAAGAATTTCTCCCAGTGAATTTCCCGCTGTTATGGGAGAAGGAAGTATCATTAGTGAGACAATCGATCAGAAGAGAAAAATGTACAAAATATGAGACAATTCTCCTTCCTTCTGTCACAACAAGGAAAGAATGCGAAAAGTAATAGTAAGGATCTGAGAATGAAGACATTCTAAAAATGAAATTAATGACCAAAGAGACAGGCTTCCTCACCTTTTTCTTCCACACCCATATTAACTCCGGACCGAATCAAGCATAGAAAATAGAAATTTACCCTACGATTTGTTTCTAAATATCACCCCGTGAGGTGCATACCGAATATATATCGAGTATATATATATATATATATATATATGTACATGTGTGTGTATGCACGTAATAAAGAAGACAGGAAAGCGTACACTGAATTTTGTGAATTGAATTGACTGCCTGTTAGTCCCGACAACCATCTGTTTGTTGGCCCTAATTTCACGACAGAACCAGTTGTCACCCATTACTGCAATTGTCGTCAGCGCCACCCGTCTCAAAAAATCACCACTGCAACCGTCACCAACATCACTCCATGGATGATGTAAATGACACAAGGGAAGATGATTCAGTTGGAAGCGTCACTGTCGAATCCCTTCCGAATCTATCAAGCCAGTTTTCAAGCTGAAGATTTCGAGGACTCAATCCAAACGGATCTACCATTGCGGGCCTAAGAATTGAAGGAATAATTTTTCCCCTCACGCCATTATGTCCTGAATCAAGTTCCCAAATAATTCTTTTTAGTAATATACTTGAAGACATTCAGCCTAAAATATCTAGCGAATCATCCCAAGCGATATTTCAGTCAACAGAAATTAGAATACGAATTAGCTAAAATGGAACAAGACTATGAATAAAACATCTCCATCTCAATGATGTGATAATTCGAAACTGAAAAAGTAAGATGAATTGATAACAAAGGAATAGAATATCCCTGTACCATTGGTTGCCAGACCATCTGTTGATTTCCCGTACGTTACTTCTCCCGTAAGTAGTTTCATTCAATTTCTGGATGGATTAAAATTTAAGCGATTATCCCATGCACTTTAATCGCAGGATTACTTTCTAGTAATCCTTTCTTTCTAGTAATCCTGCGATTAAATCTTCTTAAAGTTAATGAAATATTAATACAATAAATCGTTTGCAGAACAGCCACATGTCAAGACACGAGACAATTCCTCCACGTGAGTGCGTTAAAGCGCACACGGAAAAAGTGATGACAAATATCGGAATGTCACTGTAAACGATGAAAATGCAGAAATATTTTAGCAGTTGGGGAAGAAGTGGAAGGAAAATATGGTGGAATAGAAAAATAATAAACGAGTATGAATGCCACTTGAGAATAGCCAAATAAAGCGAAGCCGATCCAATCTGAACTAGGCAGACGTAAACCAGGCTGAAAACTACTGCTGTAGCGAAGCTGAAATCTCTTTATTACTACAATCGTCATAGGTAATAACAGTAACAGTAGCACTATTGATGTTACTGACAGTGACATCACATGCACACCTCACATACACACATATATATAATACACAGACTCGGATTATCCGGAACTTGATAACTTTCCGAGTGAGAGAGAATCTCCGAATTCGAAATACGACACAGAGTAATATTACCATAAAAGATATTTGTGATATTAAAATGAAGGATAGAAGCAGTGACTGAATAAAGAATTGAAAGCAATAATTGCATAAACAGGTTTTCCAATAACTAGCTTAAGGGATATGAATACTGAAAAATCGCTTAGAGGTCGAGAAGTTTGTTTCCTGAAACGCCGTGGATTGATCATTTGAGAGAAGTGTTGCAGGCGAAGTATCTCTCTCGGATATACCCTCGTATTCAGAGTGGAGTAGGGGATGAGGAATAGTACAGAATGGAGACTAAACAGCTGGCAGGTTGCTAATGACAACCTTAATGGGACAAATTGCAAACATCCACTTTTTAGTTTGTTTTAGAAAGCTTAAAGTGGCGAAGTTTAAGGATTGAAATAGTGACTGCATAAGCAGGCTCTCCAAGCACTGACCTAGGGATATAGAAACCGCTCAGAGATTGGGAAGTTCGTTTTCTGAAAGACTGACACTTAGCCCGATAATTCTGGCTTCAAATAAGGCAATTGCAAAATTTAGATTTGAAACTCAAGATGGGATAAAAAAAAATGAGCGGAATAACCTGAAATCCTACGGATAGAAGATAGTGGGACTTTGGGAAACTGAATATTTTCAAATATTCTGATCTCTTGAGCTAAACGAAACGAGTTCTATTGAATTTGCCGTTTTGATGTAATTGAAAACAATAGTAAAAAAATGTGAAAAAGTTATCTCAGAAATACAATGGTTTATTTCTTGAAAAGATACAGTTTCATGACCAATCTTGGCACTCTGCAAATTTCAGAAATTTTTCAACTTCCAAGACAAAGCCATATCTTGCATGGGAAATCCTTACCAAAGTTCGTAGTCTGAAATGTACGATATCGACGGTGCTAGATTATGCCTCATGCTTCCGTGAAGCAAAGTTGATAATTTTGGAAGTGATAAAGAAAGCAAGAGAAGGAAGATAAGCAAGTCAGAAGATCATGCCATGAAGAATTATTGACAGATGTATTATTACTCGATAATTTTCATCTGATCCTGCTTTTACTGAAATATCAGCTCGCTCCAATCACTTCCTTCTCAATTCCCAGTGAACTGCTTGAGCATGTTCAAGACTGAACAATAATCCCATTGTTCGTTTATGCAGTTTCTACAAATTTCAGAAAACCTTCAGCTATATGATTCGTTACCACTAGCGGAAAAACTATCACTATATCTGCCTGCTCTAAAAATGTCAAAATAGAAAGAAAATTCACTATAAACAGTACGGATGATGGTAAAATAGGAGAGAATTACATGCATTACAGAGAAGAGAACCTCCCTCTGTCTTTTTTCTGTGTTCTATTCTTCGCTAAAATACTGTGAAGATTATTCCATGTATGGATTAAACCGGTAATGAATGGAAAATGAGTATCCGGGAGAACAAATGCACGCAATCATTCAATTTAAATGTAGCTCAGAAAACGATTTCTCACTTCCCTACTGACTCGAACACCGGGCAGTTTATCCATCTTACTTTAAAACCACTACTACAACAAAAAAACAGACCTTCCCTTCTTCTCATCTATTTGTTTCGAATCATACTCCGTATTATCTTCCAACAACACAAAAATTCTCGTCAAATATAACTTTGACATTTAGAACTAATTCTTTCATTAAATTTACCGAGTGATCCGCTAAAGCTGCAACAGTTCCCCTTCCTTCTCGATATGGATTTCATCACAACAAAGAAATCCATTCAATTCAACTAATGATCTGAACTGCAGTGAAAACAAACTATCCAATTTAGCAGAAGTGCTATTTACGGTAATGGTAATGGAAGAAAGCACAATATGAACATGAAACAGCAACACTAAGAATGAAATTAAAGCGCGAATAAAATTTTTAACAACTATTTTTAGAAATAATTTTTTGACATCACAGGTTTTTTCAAAAGTGCAGATCAGAGTCTTGAATCGTTATTCGTCTTCGCGGGTGATTAATAACTTCCATTTTAATTGTCATACAATAAACGAAAAATTCAAAAAAATATCAAAATCAACTTGCGTAATGATGACGATTTTTGTCAAAGAGGATTATTACCCCAAATACTCTCAATAAACTTAATTTTTGACAAAAGCAATTTGTTATCAATGTTCTTCTGCGGTTTTTTTAATGCCATATGAATAAAAACTTGAAGACCCTCGGCAAAAAACTTGTGTTGCGGTGAATTGACCACATTTTGGAACATATCCATCAGTGCCTGCTGCGTACTCTGAACCAGCACAGTGGATAAAACGCTTCGCACAAACTGAGCTGTCATTTTATCAATTGCACCAAATTCAATTACCTGAAGCATGCACTTAATATTTGAATTCTATTTTCCCATTTTCCCGAGTCTAACTATTAAAGATAAAATTATGCGAAAGAACGTACCACCACTTATTTTACTAATTATCTCTGCTTCATTTTTAACATTGAGCCACTTATTCGATTTTTTAAGGAACTCAGGGAAAATATCCGCATGTGAATAAATTTATTTCTATAATATTCGGATTAAGGATAAAATCACTGAATAAAAAGCACCCAACTATTGAAAAAAAAAACAAAAGTTACCTTTAGTAAAGTAAGCCCAACTGATCGTTTAACCAATAGATCAACAGTAAGTAACGTTAAATTTCTACGCTGCAATTCACTTATCTGTGACAAAACTTTGATCCGGTCCCACAATGCGTACTGTGTGGTGAGCTGAAATAAATTTTTGCTAATCTCAATCTCTGAATCTTTAATCATAATACTTATGGAATTCAAAATCTTAACACAGGAACTTACAGTTCATCTTAAACTTTAAATTCAGTATTTTCTGTTATAAAACTTTTTATGTGGACAACACGGAAAAGATATTCAGTGCAAGAATTGCTCCTAGGGTAAAATGTTTTGTCCCGCATTAAAAAATTATACTAACTAGTCCTTTATGAATGAACATAACTTTGAATAGGAAATGCTCCGAATTGCAACAGCTATTCTACTTTTTTCAGAAAAAGATTTAGCAGACAAATAACGTATCATTCAAGGCTTATTAAAATGAAAAAATACCCGGATATTCAAAAAAATACCTTGAAACGTTTATGATAACAACAGAAGCGATCGATAACAGCAGCATAAAATGCATTATAAGTAGCTTCTCGCAGTGCACAATGAACACAGATATGCACTATTTCCCTTTCTTGTTGTCCTTTGAAGGAAAGTTTCAATAATTTTTCAAATGCATCCATTTCATCCTAAAGTTCGGGCAGTTAGTAATGAATTTCGTTTAATTTAAATAGACGAAGATTAGTTTACGGATTAAATTTACAGTGAATCAAAAAGTAGTGAGAATTTAATAACCAATCAATCGACAGTTGACACAAAGAAGTAAAGAAATTCACCGCTGAAGACATGATGGTGCAAAAAATGTCACGTCTGATCGTTGTGTTCATTTTAGCTTTTTTCGCAAGCTCCAATAAAGGAGCACTGAATTTCAAGATTTGTTCAACGAATTTATCATCTGTTTTGTTTTGCGGCACTGACGCAGTCGGGAACCAGGCTGAACCAACAAGCCACCAACGTCCACGTTCGCCTATGTGCATTATGTCATCCACACTCATGGGCAACTCTTTTTCTTTGTCCAACTCTACAATGAGATATGATTTTAAAAATTCAATAGCTTTCAAAGTTTTAAAGTTAAGAACTCAAATAATTTTCAATCAAATTCGCGGAATGAGTAGAATTTTCCCTTTTTTTAATTCCATCTGTTTTAGCGCCTTCACATCAACTCGCTTACCTCAATGCTGTAATTGAATACTGTCATACAGATATATACTAATTGCTACAAATATCTAGTAAATTATACACTTCTAGTAAATGACGTTTCTCTTATAGACATAATGAGTAAAAGTTCCAAACGCATGACAACAAATCTTTGACTCAAAACTTAAAACCTAAGCGAAAAACTAAGATAAATAATATAATATACTTTTCGTTAATCCACGGAAGATATTTACGTAGTGAGAATGCACTGTAAAATCTATTACATCCGTAAATTTACGAATATTCACATTCTTTATTGAATTGATTTCATCCACGATGTACCGCCACTGATGTCTTGAACAAATGAAGACTTTAGTTAATCACACAAGTTTTAAGACAAAGTGAAATTCATGAAACCCACGAGTATGTGATTTTTTGATTCCTCATGATTAAAATATCTATCTGGTACTAAGACAATATGAATATATGAAGCTTTTCCTGCTCAAAAAACGTTCTAAATAATGATAACACTAGACCGAAGTTCTCACATGTCGGAAGATGCTTCTGGAAGTTGTGAGAAGAATGACTGCGTTTCTCTTATAGATTTTTGGAATGCATCCAAATCTCTGATCTTCATAGTTTTGCCACAGTCTGTAGTAAAAGACAGTAAAAAAAAGTTTAAAAAAAATTATTTATCCATTTTTAAAACAGTGCATCTATAACTACAAGAAAAATTCCAAAAAACCTTGATTACTTTTGGAAATGTAAGGGAACTTACAGCTTAGAAGAGCTTTGAAACAATTAAGACATTTATCGTTGACCTGTTTACGCAAACACTCCATAATTTCGGTAATCATGATGACTTTGATAACCTGCAATGATGATAATTAAAATAATGTTTCACTTCAGATTTTTATTTCATTAGAGTGTTAGCAATTCACATCAACTTCCAGCACAACACTCTACTCATGATCACTAGCAATAATTTCACGAAACGAATACCTTATACTACAACTGATTATAATTCCCTATTCTCAGACTGCAAAAGCATATTCGATTTCAATAAATTACATCCTTTAAATATCTAAGATTTCGAATGAAAGATAGCGAAGAATTCATAAATGCACGGGAAATATGTCTATGTGATAATAAAACAGCACCCTGAAATTATACAGCTCGGCAAGTAAAACACAGAGGTTTTCAAGAGATTTACCATCTGGCAATACAACCACCATTTCCAAAAGTTTTACAATGAAATTCTCGATAAAATACGCTGCTGAAAAAATGCAAAAGCAACTGAAAGTCATATATCTTAGAAATCGAAACAAAGCAACAATTGAGTCATCTGAAGCTATTTAAAGGCTATTTTAAAAAGTTTAACTGAACTTAATGAAATTAAAAATTTTTAACTGGAGAAGATCCCATTCTATATTTTATCCTAATCGTTACTTTAAATGACTGAACTTTCTTTTACAATCTCAGGGATACTAGATACCGCGTCTAATTGGTGAAACTGTTATAAATAAAGGCTTACAAACTTCTGCGGAAACTGTCGCATGAATGAGAGCAATAAATACTGCATATTCAATAATAATCCGATCTGGCAAGCGATAACCTACATCGACACTGCTTATAATTTCCGAAAAAAGCAACTGTTTCACTTCTGCAACTATGAATGTATGAAAAGTCCATATCAAACAAATTTATTAATAAATGAAAAAAAATGAAAACCAATTTAGAGCGGTCAAATTTTACCATTATGCCTTCTGCTGGTAAATATATTGGAGAATATTTTCACAGCACCCACCAAAGTACGTTCGTTCAGTCGATTGACCAAACCTCTCAAAGACTTTTTCAATTTCAAATGCTCTTCGGTTTCTACCAGGCCGACTTTTTGTTCTAATTCATTGAGCTTCTCTTCAGCACATAATTTTGAACGCAGAAATTCTCCTGTCTTTTTATTAATCAGGCGACCATAAATATCTTCTTCCAAGTTCATATCAATATCATTTTCACCCTCGCTGTTCTCATTCATTTCAGTAAAATCATCCCTCTGAATCTAAAAACAATCATTACAATTGTTTTCGAGAATCAATTACAATGACAGATGTCAAAAAAGGACGTGTCAGAACCCATAATCATAATCATTCATCGCTTCGTCAAAACACTAACTTTTGGTGATGCTGAGTTTTTTTTCGGAGTACACGTTGCCAAAGCACTATTTTCATCTTTATTTTCACTGCCACTCTCGTCCCCCTCGTTCAACATTTCACTGTTATATATGTCAGAACCGCTGTCTCCATCAACACTGCTGTGTTGCGATGGTTTTGAATCACACATCTCAAGGAGATCTGTAATAATCAACTGAGCTACGTAATATAAATTACGCCTGATTTGAACTAAGAATTAACTTCTCAAATTAAAATTTTAAGCAAATATTTAGATATAATCAAAAATTAGTCTTAAATTCAACTTAAATTACAAAAGACAAAGTAAAGGTGAAGAAGGGTTATATGCCAAGTATAACTGAAACACGCACAATCGAGCCCTTCGGTGCGAAATACTTTCGGCATGTTTTTGCTTTTCCTCTTATTATAACCAAGAATTCGCTCATAGCGGTGAATTTCGATATTATCTTCATTAATGCCTCGTATAAGTTCTTCTTTTCGTAATTGCTGCATCTGAACCAAAAAAAAAAAAATCACTTGAAAGTCTTCCAAACATTACCACAAAGAAAAAGGCAAACATGCGTTATATTACAATATAATAATTCAATCATAATCGAATAATTAAATTAGTTGTGATTAAAGTGAAACACAGGTAATCACAATCAAGCAATTAAATTAGTTGCTGAAAAGATAAAATGGAACACATTAAACGTGAAATGGACCATACATAACAAATATGCTGAATGGCATTATTAACAAACATGTATATATAACGTTTGATTTAATCCTCAACTTCGGCCATATAATCTATTCATCGAAATGTCTAATTAAATTCAGTTTTGCATTATTAGCAGAAAAATGCTTACACTTTTCTTTCTACGCCTTTTTGCACGCTTTTTCTTGGCCTGTACCATTTCAATAATATCTTCTTTTTGGTAACCTATAGGATTTTTCTCTCTTATAATGATATCTTCAATCTGGAATGAAATGATTGAGAGAAAAAAAGATTTATGATAATTCCAAATATCAGTCCACTGATGTCAAACAGATAAAAGGAAAAGTCAGATAACGAAATCAACGCAAATCAAAGCGCACAAAGAAAATAAAAAATGTACTGACCTCTCTGTAGGGATTAGTTCGGTAAAATCTTTTGCTTCCTTTTTTAATCTTCCTTATCATTTTCCGTTTACATTCAGACAATACATTATCACCAACAGCCATCACACTTCGAATTTCCTTAGCCAAGAAAATGTACCTTAAAAATCTTAATAGTATTTATTAATTTAGCAAACTCATCGCAGAAGAGGAAAAAAGAGGTCAAGAAGCATTCGTATATATGCTTTTATCCCATGAATTCTTTTTACCGGTCAAACTGAAAAATATCAGCCGCACACGAACTACTGAGAATAGTATATCGGGAAAGAAATTATGAGCCAACGAAAAGCAGAACAGATAGCAAGAGAAAAAGCGCTCGGTCAAGTTTTCTGAAGTGACTGGACCGGCTTTGAGCAACGCAAGGAGTACGTGGAGGTTGCGGGTCAGATTCTTTGTTACACATCAAACGGAAGGACTAAATGGGCGCTTAATAGTTTAAGTCAAATCTCACCGAATGTAATGGATTTTTCTTTGTTGTGAACAAACCTTCCACATCACATTATTACTTCCCATGTTTCATATTACGAAGCACTGTACATCTTTTCATTTCAAAAAGGAAAATAAGAATTGATGAATGACACTGCTCATCATATATCTCTACGAAAAAGTCCGGACTGAAAGAATGTTTCAAGCGAAATTTAAGGACCGGTGGAATCGTATATCCATAACGGTTTAATCCAACTTCAAAAAATGTCAAGACTTCTCATAATGATGAAATAATGACAAAAATTCCATTTAGCAGTCGAGCTGTATAAAGCATGACCAAACAACATTGGGTACGCCGCGAGATATCACATATCAAATAAATATACATTGAAAAGGAAAATATTCATATTCAAAAATGAAAAAGATCAGAAATTGGAGGCAAGAGATTAAGGCAAGCAAATTTATCGTTGCTTTGTCTAGGTGGGATTCTGACTTAGAGGCGTTCAGTCATAATCCCTCAGATGGTAGCTTCGCACCATTGGCCGATCGGCCAAGCACATGAACCAAATGTCTGAACCTGC